CCCCAAAACCCCAAAACCCCAAAACCCCAAAACCCCAAAACCCCTTTCTAAATTTTAAAAATTGGTAATTTAGCACTAATTTAAAAAATGTCTACCAAATTGGTACAAAACTACGAAGACAAAGAAGAGATTAAGGATGAAGATATCAAGGTCAGCACTCCTTTAGCTGCTGGCAGTAAGCAGATCCTTAAGGAAAACTCCATGATGCTTGATTTCACAGACTATATGTCATGCACATCTGGTGATGACAGTGATAGCGTCAAGGACTTCCGCTCGAGATCGTATACTCCTACAAAATTATTTAAACGGAGGATTCAGTCGAAAATGCCAGCCTCACAGTTGATGAAAAGACTAGCAGAGAAGCAGAGAAAGGCTCAAGAGAAAAGAGTCCAGATCCTCAGAGAGAAAGAAGAGAATTTTAGAAAGGCTAGAGAGAAGGAGAAATAAATTAAAGCAAAAATTAGAAGAAGAAGCTGCCCAAAAACTTACTAAATACAACGAGAAGTTGGAGAAAGCCGAAATCCGCAAAGCCCAGTTTCTTGATAATATAGTTGACAAGGCAAAGCAAGAAGGCGAGAAACTTGATGAAAATGCTTTTATTCTCAGCCTCACCCTGCAAGGCAAGAAGATTGATCTAGAGGACAAAATTCAAATAAACAGCGAGCGGCGCCAAAAAGTACTTGATGACATGCTCAATAGGACAGTTGAGTCTCGTGAAAGAAGACATGAAGCTTTCAACAAATAAAAGAGAGATTCTGAGAGAGCAAAGTCGTGATAAATTCTTAGCCAAAACTGCCAGAATTGAAAGCGCTCGTAAAAGGAAGAACCAAGAAGTCGAGAAAATCAAGAATAACGCTCGTGCTTGGATCAAGAAAGCAATTGCAACCAGGAATCGAAAGAAGAATGTTGACAATAAAATCAACAGACTCATCTCTATGATCTCCAATGTCAATGAAGAGTGGGAGAAATGACCGGCCTTCAAGAAAGAAAAGAATGAAATTTTTGAAAAGAAGAAAATCAAACTGAAAAGTCAAGCAAAGGTTCTTGATAAAATCATGAAATATGCAAAAGAGGATAATGTAAATCTCACCCAAAAGGAGACAGAAGCTCTTCTTGATGACTTCTCCTCTGATGATGAAGAAGATATTCTGTATAAATCAGCAATAGATCAAGACTTAAAAGCTCATTCGGATTCTGAGCTTGATAATGATAATATTGCCTTTTATTTCAAGAATAGCTACCTGGACAACCGGGAGAATGTAAAGGATAACTCAGGATACATTGATCGCTTTTTGATTCACTCTTCTACTTCTGTAGATACAGAGCAGAAACCATCAATAATGAAAGCACTTAGTGAGAGTCCTAAGAATGGGAATGTTGAGGAGCTTAAAGAGCCTATCAGCACAGTCGGACTGAGCCAGGACATGCTTCTGAAACTTGACCAACAGACTAAAAAGCAAAACAATGGGAATGAAATTCCCGGTCATGGTCCGATGATTGGGTATTACGCAACGCCTAATATTGTGACACCTGTATCCAATACTAAAACTGTCAAACCAAAGAAGCCAACAAAGCTAGTGCCTAGTAAGAAATACCTTGCTGAAATGAAGCCTATCATCATCCTATTGAAGTACTTAGATAAGGAAGGTAAGAGCCTCTTTGTCAGTGCTCAAGTTACCCTCTCACATGATATTGGAGCAATGAAGGAAGAAGTGAAAACACCGAGTACAAAATCAAAGATGTCTAAAATTCTAGAAAATTGCTCAGATTTTGGCTCAACAAAGAACGCCATTGGAAAGGCAGCCACTCCAATCAGAAAGGAGAGGACTATCTCTGCTGATAGCACCGACTGCCACACAAAAGATGCATCTGAGGTTAAAGAGCCTCTAAACTCGAAGGAAAATATTGATACTAAAAATACTACCCAGATAAAACCAAAATCTTCATTACGCAAAAGTCATGAGATAGTCAATATCCCATCTCAAGAAGAAAGGAAAGAGCATGAGATCAATTTCGAGAGAATAATGAGCATAATATTTGAAGAAGATAGACACCTTTTTAGGAAAACACAGGCTAATAAAATCATAAAAATCGATCTTCCTGACTTCAATCTTGCTGATTTCTTGGAGAACAATAGCATCCAACTCAGGGGGTGAAGGATCTGAGAATGTACCTATGAAGGACCTCCTAGCACTCATTTTGCCTCTAAGACACACAAGAAAATGAAGGAGGAGCTTGGATTGAAAGACCAGGAAGATCTTCCCCTTTCACCAATTATTCTACAGTCTAACCCAGGATCAATCGAAGAATACCTTCAAAAAATTCGTGAAAATGCAATGAAGCAGAAGTACAAAAAGCTCAAGCAACAAATGCTAAACAAAGGAGTTCACCATGACGTTGCCTCCAGCGTTGGAAAAGACATTACTACTGCATCAAATAAGAAGAAAATGCAGATTCTATCAATAGAATTGGAAAACAAAGTCACTCCTACAATTACAGAGTATACCTCTCTAGAACTAAAGCTCAACAATCTGATCTCAATTGTTGCTAGAAAGAGACAAGAAGAGCTACATCTTCTCAGAAAATTGAAGATCATTCCTTGGGTAATTGAGATTCTGAAGAAAATTTCAGTTTGCCCTCGAAATGAAATCAAAGATTTAGTGAGAGCAATAGAATTAGCCATAAAAATACTACAAATCTTTGTGACTACCAGAGAGAACAGGGATTATATGCTTAGCACAAATCGAGTCATTGTGCTTTGTGACTTACTCATATGGTCACTGAATAAGCCAATGCACTTGTTTTATGGGTCTACTTATGTGCCTTCTCTATTTGAAGTTATCACTACTTGTCTCAAGCACAAAGCAGCTTATGCACATCAACAAATGAAAGCTCTTTTGTTAGAATATGTCCTGTGCTCACCAATTCCAAAGAAGATGAAAATGAAATTTGAGTCTGCTACAGGACCACTTCAACTAACTGGAAAGCTTAGTCTGATTCCAAATATTATTTGCAAAGGACTCTCATTCATTGAGGTCATCACTAGCATTGTTGGAATGGATTCTAGATATCGTCCAGTATACGATAAATCTCAGACAATTGGTGATAGCATGTACTTTGTAATTCAAAAGACTAGGTTAATGCAAGTTATCCCGCTTATGATGGATGTTTTATTTGATAAAGCACAACATCCTAAAGAAATGCTGCCAAAAAGCATTCTAAATCTCACATTTTTATCATTGAAATTGATCAACAATATGTTTAGGATAAATTTAGAGCTATGTCAGAGAATTTTAGCAGATCAAATTTTGCAAGACCAGTTCTACTATTGACTCAACTACATTGTAAAATATTGCTATCTCTTCGAAGACCAAGATGAAAGCAAGGATATTCTGTATGAAACGCTACTTATGATCGGATATTACACTCTTATGAACCCAAAGGGGCAAGAGAAGGTGCGTTCTGGTGAACATTCTGTTCTCCTAAAATTGTGACAACTTGACATTTCCTTCTTTATGGACAAGCAGAAGAAGGATATCTTGTTCCCTACACTTATATGTCTCTCTTACAAAGACTCGATCAATCTCCAAATTATTGACAACGAAATGGACAAGGATTATCTGAAGAAGTACATAAAAACAACAAAGAAGGAAGAGTTGTATAATATCCCTGAAGATGACCTAGAGCAGAGAAGTTTGGATAGCTCAAGCATATGCAGTATAGGTCAGAGGAGTAGCCACTCGATCTCCTCTACTAATAGCTCGACTACTTCCATTACTACTAATCTGAAGATGGAGCATTGCCCTTTCATACCTTTCTTCATGAGGTTCCCAAAGAGCATGCTGGATGATGCACTGAAATTCTATTCAGATTAAATCTTTGGGAAAGTATTCATAGTCTATATATTTTATAGTAAATATTCAACATAGATGCGTTTTGAGGGGTTTTGGGGTTTTGGGGTTTTGGGGTTTTGGGG